GGAGGAGATGCCGGCCTCTGGTTTGCTCCCCAGATGCTAGCTGCCCTGGCTGGAGCTGGAATCCACGGGCCAGGAAATGTCTCTAGGTGAGCCTGTGTCTCCATCTTGTGGATTCTACAGGCAGCAGATTCCAGCAAACTTCAGGGAAAGCAGGGACCAGGGTCAGGCCCTGAGCCCCACCCCTGCCCCCTGCAGCAGTTGCCATGGTGATGAGAGGTGGAGCAGGACCAGTGATGCATTTTGCTGTTCCAACGTACTCTTTCTCTGTCTGCCTCTCTGTTCCTCCGCCTCCTCTGACTCTGTACTCTGGGCCTCACTCCACCCAGCCCAATGGGGTTTGGGTGGTGGTGCTGATCCTGTTGGCCATCGTCTGCATCCCGAGCTTGATGCGGGGCGAGGAGGCTGCCCGGGTACACACCTTTGTGACCCCCTGCTCCTGTGTGTGGGGGTTTCTCGGCTGAGCTCGCCTCTCTGCAGCCCCAGGATGCATGCATGGGAGTTTCCGGCCAGCAGGTTGCTAGCTGTGCCTTTGCCAGGTGGCTGCAGGGCCCCCGGCAGAGGTTTTAAAAATCGATGATTTTGAGGAACTGGAAGGAGACAGAGCTCTGGCGACTGGGTCAAGGATGAGCAGCCGTTGAGAATGTCTGAGAACTTCCGGGCCGTCTCTCCCAGGACTAAGTCACTTCCAATATCGGATGGATGGGGAGTGGGGTGGACCCCAGGTCAGTGGCTGTCTTCTGCCTTGATTCAGTTTTTTAAATTATTATTATTTTTTAAAATTTTTATATTGGAAAGTCAAATATCCAAAGGAGGAGAGACAGAGAAAAAGATTTTCTGTCCATCCATTCACTCCCCAAGTGACCGCAACAGCTGGTGCTGAGTCAATCCGAAGACAGCAGCCAGGAGCCTCTTCCGGGTCTCCCACGCGGGTGCAGGGTCCCAAGGCTGTGGGCCGTCCTCCACTGCTTTCCCAGGCCACAGGCAGGGAGCTGGATGGGAAGTGGAGCAGCCGGGATACCTATATGAGATCCCAATGTGTGCAAAGTGGGGATTGAGAGAGACAGAGAGAGTCCACTTGCTGTTTCATTCCCTATAGATGGCTGCAACAGCCAGGGAGAGAGGGAGAGGGAGGGAGGGAGAGAGAGAGGGAGAGAGAGAAGGAGGGGAGGATTCAGCCTGCACCCAGGACCTGGGGCAGCAGGCGAGTCCTGAGAGACACGACAGGCTGCCAGGGGATGGTAGTGACCACTGATGTGTACGAGTTCCTCTTTTCAGCCCAGAGGGAAAGTTCTGGAACCAGAAGGATGCATTAGCTCTGAAGGTTTTGCTACTTTCAAAGAATTCATTTATTTTCCCCCTCAGCAGCAAAAAGTGTAGATTCGTGTTCCACAGGAAAACCCCATACAGGATCCTTTTTTTTTTTTTAATGATGTTTTATTTGCAAGGCAGAGTGAAAGGGTTAGCTACCAAGCAGTGGCAAGGCAGCTGTTGCCTGTGTCCCAGCATGCATCCTTCAGTCCAGCAATGAAGACAAGGGTGAGGGCGCCACGTCCCAGGGCCCAGGTTCGAGTCCCAGCTCCGGCTCCTGGCTCCGACTCCCTGCTTGAGCTCACCCTGGGAAGCTGTAGGTTACGACGCAAGGGCTTGGTTGCTGCTACCCACGTGGGAGCCCTGCAGGTGGAGTTCTGGGGTCCTGACTTGGGGGGATTGCTGGGTCAGCCTTCCTTAGCAGTTAATGTACATTTGGGGCAGTGAGTCAATGAATGGAAGTTGCCATTTACATAAAGGTGGCGGGAGTAGGGGGGCTCTGCCAGGGTCCAGAGGAGCAGTACTTAAGGGTAAATCCTTTAGAAGAGAAAGCTGGACCTGGCATTGTGGCGTAGCATGCTAACCCTCCATCTGTGGCACTGGAATCCCATAGGGGCATCCAATTCATGTCCCGGCTGCTTCACTTCCCTTCCAGCTCCCTACTTGTGGCCTGGGAAAGCAGTAGAGGATGGCCCAAGGGCTTGGAACCCTGTACCCACGTGGGAAACTCAGATGGGGCTCCTTAGCCCTTGGCTTTGGGTCGGCTCAGCTCCGGCGCTCACAGTCGACTGGGGAGCAAGCCAGTGGGTGGAAGATCTCTGCTCTCTCTCTCTCTAAACTCTTGAAGTAAAAATAAAACTTAAGAAAACTCAGGTGCCCTCCCACTTTCTCACCGGGTGGCAGCCGGGGCCACCCTAGCATGCGCCAGCCAGCAGGAGGGGCTGTCCCCTCGGGGCCAGGCATCTCCTCCTAGCAAGCCCTGCAGAGCCGCAGAGCCGAGCCAGGCCTCCCGTGAGCATCTGTCCTAACAGGCCTCTGAGAGGTCAGAGAGAACAGGCCCCAGATGCTGCTGGGAAGGGCAGGGGCGGTGGGGGAAATTTTGTTCTTTTCTGATATGAATCATTACAAGAGTATTCCCTAGCTGAAAGCTTCAGTGTAAAGAAAGGAAGAGAAAATGTCACACGCGTGGGGAGCTGGCGGCCCTGGCCTCCTCCCTCCATCTCATTGTCCCCTGGGGGCCTCCCTGCCACGGCCGCATCAGGGGACCTCTTAAAATGTTTCCATGAGTGATTGCATTTAAAAAAAAAAAAGGTTTATTTATTTTTATTGGAAAGTCAGATATGCAGAGAGGAGGAGAGACGGAGGAAGATCTTCCGTCCGATGATTCACTCCCCAAGTGGCCACAACGGCCGGTGCTGTGCTGATCCGAAGCCAGGAACCCACAGCCTCTTCTGGGTCTCCCACGCGGGTGCAGGGTCCCAAGGCTTTGGGCCGTCCTCCACTGCTTTCCCAGGCCACAAGTAGGGAGCTGGATGGGAAGCAGGACTTCCAGGATTAGAACTGACACCTATATGGGATCCCAGAGTGTTCAAGGCAGGGACTTTGGCCACTAGGCTATGGCTCCTGGTCCCCCGATTACATTTGAAGGACACTGGGCTGGGAGTGGGTGAAACCTGGGAGCCTCTGCGAGCTCCATCTGGGTCCCCCATGTCACTGGGTTTCCGTTGCTTTCCAGGGTCCATCAACGGGATGCTGGAGCAGCCGGAAATCAAGCCTTCCTGTAGCTGCTGTAGGCAAATGGCGACTCCCCCTACCCGCCCACCCAACCCGGACCCGCCCTGCCCTGTCCTGTACCCCAACATACATTCTCAGCCCCCCACCCAGCTCCCACCCTGCTGCCCAGGAAATCTCCATCATCCAAGAGAGACAGAGAGCTTGGACTGGGAAGGAGAAAGCTTTTTCAATCTATCCTTCTTCAATTTTACCGCGAGAAGCAGTGCACCTGGCAGAGAGTGCCCTAATCTCGTTGAAGGGCGCAGCGCCGGAGCAGTCCTGAGACGGCAAGGTCCTCACCCACAGCTCCAAAACTTTCTCCTCTGTCTCACCCTCCTCCCCCACGCCCTCCAAACTGAAACTCCGTCCCCGGGAAACTCTTGGGGCCCCCAACCCCGTCCCCCCCGACTCCCATCTCTCAGAAAGCATCTTCAGGCTTCTTCAGTGCAGTTTGTGGCAACACTTCCTTCCTTTGTTAAAGTTTGAGAGGCAGAGAGCCCGGTGCGATAGCCTAGTGGCTAAGTCTTCGCCTGGCACGCACCACCAGGATCCCATATGGGCACCGGTTCTAATCCCGGCAGCCTCACTTCCCATCCAGCTCCCTGCTTGTGGCCTTGGTGGGGGTTGGGGGGGGCAGTTGAGGATGGCCCGAAGTCTTGGGCTCCCGCACTTGTGTGGGATTGAATTCCTGAGTGAGAGATCTGGAAGAAGTTCCTGGCTCCTGGCTTCAGATCAGCTCAGGACTGGCTGCTTGGGGAGTGAATCAGCGGACGGAAGATCTTCCTCTCTGTCTCTCCTCCTCTCTGCATATCTGACTTTGCAATAAAAATGAATAAACATTAAAAAAAAAAGTTTGAGAGGCAGAGAGAGTGGGTGGCAGGGACCCAAAGGACCATCCCCTAGTGCCTCCCAGGCTGAGGTTGGTGGAGCAGGGAAGCAGCTGGCAAGCGGAGGTGGCGGGACTTGAACTCCAGGCTTGGGATGCTCCGACGTGGGGAGGAGCCCCTCAACTTCCTTCCCTTTTATGGTGTATGAATAGCTGGTCGCCTGCCCGCAGCGGCCGTCTTCTCTAAGCCATTCACCTGCCAATGGATGCTTTCACTTCCGGGTGACGGGGAAAGCTAGCAGCCGCACTAGTGGTGGGGGTGCTGGTGTGTGTGGGGGAAAGTTATGAGCTTACGGCGGCTGAAGTCATCTCCCTCTTCATTTTGGAGATTCCCTGGGAATCCTGAGTGCTGCTTCGGTTTTTTGCAACCCTTTCTCTGTCGCAGGAGCTTCTGAGATGGCGGAGGGCAGTGGGGAAGATCAGCTACCTTTGGATACATGGGTCTTTATTAAGAAAACTTTTTGGGGGGTCAGCATCCTGACTCAGTGGGCTCATCCTCTGCCACAGGGGGTGCTGGTTTGTATCCTGGCTGCTCCACTTCCCATCCAGCTCCCTGCTTATGGCAGTAGAGGACGGCCCAAAGCCTTGAGACCCTGCACCCGCGTGGGAGACCCGGAAGAGGCTGCTGGCTTTGGATCAGCTCAGCACCAACCGTTGCGGCCACTTGGGGAGTGAATCATCGGACGGAAGATCTTCCTCTCTGTCTCTCCTCTCTGTATATATGACTTTCCAATAAAAACAAAAGCCTTTGTCTGGGTGGGAAGTGGAGTTCTGCCTCCTGTGTGTTCCCAGCCCCACCTGCCTGGAATCTGTGGTGTTGCAGCTACCCGAAGGGCCCAGGCCTCTGGGCACAGATAAGCACCTCCTGTACCTAGCCAACACATGGAGCAGGGGTCAAGTACAACTTTTTATTGGTTTCTTAGATATTCTTATTTCCTATCTATGGTAGCAGCAGTGTCTGGCCGCCACAGCCTCCCTACTCCTACTGGGCTGTGAGGGCCATTGTCCGGAGAATATACATATATATATATATTCAGGGATGCACCCACTGGACACCAAAGAAGGTTTCGTCGGGGTTTTGGGAGGGTACCAGGGGCAGTGTGAGGTTGGTGCACAGCAGGTCCCCACGGGCCAGGGGTGTCAGGCGCTGGGAGACGACGCTGCAGCTCTGGGAGAAGTGGAGGCGCAAGATGCTGATGCTGTGTGTGGCCGGTTTGCAGATGCTCAAGGCTAGAGTGGCACCGCGGGGCCGGGTGGGTCCCCACCAGGAGCAGTTGGCTAGCGTGACCTGGATGTGCAACCGGTAAATGCCGTCACGTTGGATACGTAGCTGCCCGTCGTCCAGCTCCGGTCCGAACAGGAAGGAGCGGCCGAGTGCCGGGCCGGCCTGCCAGCGCAGCCTGGGGTCCTGGCGAGCACCTGCTGAGGCATAAGGGTTGGGGGAATGGGAGGAGAGCGGTTTAGGGTTGCTGAGGCTCGAGGTGGGGGTGGTTGTGTTGATGATGGGATGAAGGAGAGACGGGGAAGAGAAGATGGAGAGAGAGAGTAGCAGTTGGATAGAAAGAGTCCTCGGGCAGTGAATTCCTGCTGTTCTACCACCCAGCGTCTGCTCTGAGCCTGGGGTCAACCTTCTTACATTGGAACCCAGCTTGGTGGCTCCAACCACCAGGACCCCGCCTCCTCCCGGTTCCTCAAAGCCATCTGCTTAAGGCACAGCCAGCTACAGCTCACAGGCAGAACCCCGTCCGCAGCCCCGACTCCACACAACCACTCCCCGACCCCACGACCTCAAATAGATGTCCCTTGTTACGTCTCTCACTAGCTGGGTCCCCTGTGGCTGCCCCTCAATCCCCTTGGGGCCTATGAGGCAGTACCTTCTCTCTAGGACCCCTGAGTCATAAAGGGCTCCTTGGGTTCTTCTGGGGACCTACACACCCTTGTATCTTGGTTTCTATTTGTTCAAAGAGGCCGACCAGGACACCTGTCACTGTACGCTGGAAAAGGACCCACAGGGCGTGTGCCAGGATCTGCCATCTCCTCCCCTCCCCCTGGGAGGGCTGCATTTGGCCACGGGTCAGGCTCGGGGGGTGTAGGCATGGTGGCCGTGCTGGTTGGTCAGCTGGGCACATGATCAGAAACATTGATACCACTTGGAGCCAGCTGCCCACGTGCCCCCATCACCCACCCAGAGCCTTGGGGTTGAAGGCCGGGCACAGAGCCACAGAGAAGGTGAGAGAGAGAGAGACAAAGGGAGAGAAGAGAGAGAGAGAGAGATTACCACTGAGGGGTAGAATGTTGAATCTCACCTGTTCCACACAAACAGGACACAGTACCCCAACTCAAGGGGCCCCCCCTGCAGACACAACAGCCCAGAAGAGAAAGAGGCGCAGCGGACAGCTGGAAGGGGCCCTGTCTGCCCACTGGCTCAGGTCCCCCCGGGGGGGCAGCTGGCCATGGCTGAGACCCCAAGTGAGGAGGCCCACACCCCCAGCACGCTCTGTCCCTTCTCTTCCTCCACAGGACCAGGGGTGTGGCTGGCCTGCCCACGGCTGGCTGCCGGCCGCATCCTGCTCCCAGGGTAAGGGTTGGACATGCGCAGGCTGCACTGGGGGGAGTGAATGGGGTCATGGCTGCGGGGACTGCTTGCTCTGCCTTCTGGGTTGATTTGGGCTCTTTCAAAGGAGAGGGAGACACGCCGGAAGGGAGCCTGTGTCTCGGAGAGTCTGGGCTGAGAACTGGCCGGCCCCAGCTCCCTGCGCATGCGCACCCCGGGACACAGCTGAAGATGAGCTTGGGCTCCTGCACGCATCGGGGGAGACCCGGAAGGAACTCCTGGTGCCTAGCCTTGGTCTGGTCCAGCTCTGGTTCTTGCAGGTTTTGGGGGAGTAAACCAGTGGATGGAAGGTTTTTCTCCTCTCTTCCTTCCTTTTTTTTTTTTTTTCAGATCATTTATTCTTATTTGAAAGAGAAAGGAGGAGAGACAGAGAGGAAGATCTTCCGTCCGATGATTCACTCCCCAAGTGGCCACAACGGCAGGTGCTGAGCCAATCCGAAGCCAGGAGCCTCTTCCGGGTCTCCCCCGCGGGTGCAGGGTCCCAAGGCTCTGGGCCGTCCTCCACTGCTTTCCCAGGCCACAGGCAGGGAGCTGGATGGGAAGTGGAGCAGCTGGGACTCAAACCAGCTAGGGCCCATATGGGATGCCAGCTCTGCTGAAAGTTTAACCTACTGCACTATGGCACGGGGCGGAGACGGGGTCGGGGGAGGTGGTCAACCTTTCAAAAAAAAAATTACACACATAAAAATGGACAGTGAAGAGCTAAATGGGAAGGGAAAGGTACCCAGGCGCACACCTGCGCCTCTGCGTCTGCCCTCTTCCTCTGTCTCATTCATTTGCTCTCACCTGCACCCGCACCCTGGCGCGCACCCGGCCCGCACTTGCCCCGTCTCACCTGTGCGGTTCAGCTGCAGCTCAGCAATGTCCCACTGTGGGAGGGGGAGATGAAAAACAAAACAAAAATGAAAAAAAAAAAAAAAACCAACTAGAAAATGCCAGCCCGGGAGAGGAGGGGGTCTGTCTATCCCCCCTCCCGCCGCACTCCAGCTTTCCAGACAGCCTGAGCACCAAACTCGGCGCTGCCCAGAGACTTTTCCTGGAAGTTACCGGACGCAGGCACCCGGAGGGCCTCCTTACGCGAAGGCCCCTGCGCGGTCCCCAAACGGAACTCCCCGCGCCCATGGGTGATCCACTGCCTGCCCTGTGAAGCCCCCAGGAGCCTCTGAGTCAGCCGTGCCAGGGGGAACACCGCACCTGTCCCTCCTGGCGCGCGCTCTCTGTCTCTCTGTCTCTGTCTCTCTCTCCCTCTCTCTCTCTCTCTCTCTCACACACACACACACAGCCTCCGTTGTCACCCAGCTCTCCCTTTCTCCCTCTCGTCAGTCCATCTGCGCGCCCCGGGCGGGTGCGCGGTCCCTCGCCCCGGACCAGGTTCCCGGCACCCGGAGCCTGGTGCGCGCCGACTCTCCCTGCGCTTGCAACTCCCTTCTCCGGTTCACTCACCGCAGGTGTCTCTAGCTGCTGCTGCTGCGGCTGCTGCTGCTTCGCCAGCCAAGGGCTGTAGAGGAAGCCGTAGACCGCTGCCACGATGAGGGCCAGTGGCAGAAGCGGGCGCAGCGCCGATGCCCAGGGTAGGCGTAGCGAGGGGCAGGAGGAGCCCTCCTCCGCCATCGCGGCCCGCGGCCGGCGTAGCATGGGCGAGGGCGGCCGCTGAGCCAGGAGGAAACTTGGGTCCCTGCGGGCGCGGTTCTCTGAGGGTTTTTGCCTGCCTCGACCTGCCTGCCCCTCTCTCTCTCTCTTGGGGATGTCCGGCCCAAGGGAGGGGCTTGAGCTCAGGGAAATCCCCTCAAGCCTGTGCAGGCCCTCACCTCCCAGCTGAGGCCATCTGGGGGGAGGGAGGACAGCGGCTGCCGCAGCCCATCCCTCTGACCCTGGCGGTCTAGCTTTCCTGTTTGGTTCCTCCTGCCTTCTTCCTTGCTCGTTGGGGAGACCCCCAGCGCACAGTGCATCCACAGCGGCAGGGGTGGGAGGGCTGGAGACTGTGTTAGTTCCCCCCGGGGTTCAGAAAGCAGCCAGGAGTTGGGAGTGGCTCCCCAGATCTTCATGCACGCCTCTCTACTTCTTTATTTACATGAAAGCTGAGAGAGAGAGAGAGAGAGAGAGAGAGAGAGAGAGCCACAACGACCGGGGCTGGGATGGCTACAAGTCAGGACCAGGAGTTTCTTCTGGATCTCCCACGCAAGTGCCGGGTCCCAAGCACTTGAGCAGTCCTCCACCGCTTTCCCCAGGCATCTCAGCAGGGAGCCTAATCAGAAGTGGAGCAGCCCAGACTCGAACCCGTGGCCCTATGGGATGATGGTGTAGCAGTGTCTCCCTTGCTCTGGCGCATTCCTGACCTTACCTGGCAGTCAGGAGTGGTCAGGTGACTGCCCAGGTTGGCGGGAGGAACACGGTGGTCATGACGGAGTGAGACAGCCCGCTGTCTCCCCTTCCTTACCTCGTGTCCTCTGTGGGGGTGCTCCCCGGGGCCTCCCCAGGTTCCTGTACAGCCCAGATGTCAGAACACGTCTGCGTTTGGAGATGAGTCGGGGTGGTGAGGCAGTCGACAGGCAGGCACTGCCTCGTTCTGCTTCCAAAACACACACACACACACACACACACACACACACACACACACACACACACACACACATCCTAGAGGTGAAGTGACATCATGGGGTTGGCACAGTGGCTCAAGAGGCTAATCTTCCACCTGCAGGCACCAGGATCCCACAGGGGCCACCCGTTCATCTTCCAGCTGCTCCACTTCCCAACCAGCTCCCTGCTGGTGGCCTTGGGACCCTGTACCCACTTGGGAGACCCGGAAGAGGCTCCTGGCCATGGAAGCCACTTGGGGAGTAAACCAAGAGATGGAAGATTTTTTTTTTTTTCTGTGTCTCATTCTCTCTGTTGATATGCCTTTCAGGTAAAAACAAATCTTTAAAAACAGAAAAAGCAGACGATGCTGTGGCGAGGCAGCTGTGCAGCTGGACAGAATGCTACGTGAAGGCGAAAGCGCCGGGCGCAGGAGCCCACTCAGAACGAAGACACCCAGCTGCCAAGATGCAGTGAAACGTGATGGGAAACTGGCCAGGCCACAGTGGGACTTCCCCCTCAACCCCGCCCTGCCCCTGGGCGATGGGGTGGAGCTGCATCAGGGGCTTCGCAGCAGGCACCGGGGGTGGCACACGCCTATACCCTTAGCAGCTCCTTTCCCAGTGCAGCCCGAGAAGGGGGACCCTGCAGCGGAGCTGGGGATGTGAGAACAGCCTGGCTGGACACACGTAACATGGGTGCTCACACACGGCTTGTGCCAGAGACGTGTGCGTGTAGTTTGAGAACGCTGACGTCGCTCGCGTGCCGTGGAGAGTGAAGGGTGACCGTAGCGTCCACGGGGGCGAAGCTGGGCAGTGTAGGAGGTGAGGTGGGCTGGGGAAGGAAGGGGTGGGTGGCTAGGCTGGCGGTGAGGCTGAACCTGCCCCCCTGTGTCGAGCCCCTGGGTTCAGTCCCCAGGCTCCGGCTCCCGAGTCGGGACGATGCGAGCAGTTGAGTCTTTAGCCTTCTCACGGGGCAGATGCACAGAGTTTCAAAATCCTGGCCCTGGGCCCGAGCCTTGGCTGTCACGGGCATTAAAAAAAAAAAAAGATTTATTTGTTTTTATCGGTAAGTCAGATATACAGAGAGACAGAGAGGAAAGTCTTCTCTGATGATTCACGCCCCAAGTGACCTCAGAGAGACCACAGCCGGAGCTGAGCTGATTTGAAGACAGGAGCCAGGAGCTTCTTCCGGGTCTCCCACGCGGGTGCGGGGTCCCAAGGCTGTGGGCCATGCTCCACTGCTTTCCCAGGCCACAGGCAGGGAGCTGGGTGGGAGGTGGAGCTGCTGGAATAGGAACCGGTGTCCATATGGGATTCTGGTGCATGCAAGGTGAAGACTTTAGCCACTAGGCTACCGCACCGGGCCCTGTCACGGTTGTCTTTGGTGGGAGCTCTGTCTCTTTGTTTCTGTCTGCCTTCAGATAAAGATGTGCAGAATGGGGGTGGTGAGGAAGAAAGGGAGAAGGAAGGGGGTAGAATCAACAGAGAGCAGGGTGGGCAGCGCAAAGCACGGGGGTCTTACTCAGAACCTGAATGGTTCTGCTGTGTTTTAGCACCTGACAGGTACCTGCCTTTAAGGAGCCAAGACACGGACCTCAGCACCATGACTGGGGAAAGACATGGCCACTCCAATGCGGTACACACTCACAATGGAATATTACTCAGCCGTGAAGAAGGAGCCGTATGGCATGCACAGCCCTTTAGAACTGAAGGTTCCTGAGAGAAGGAAGGGGACCTGGCAGGATGGCTCAACTGGCTAAGCCGCCTCCCTGCAAGCGCTGGTATCCCACAGGGGTGCTGGTTCATGTCCCGGTGCCTCCACTTTCCATCCAGCTCCCTGCTTGTGACCTGGGAAAGCAGTGGAGAACGGCCCAAAGCCTTGGTGTCATGCAGCCATGTGGGAGACCTGGAAGAAGCTCCTGGCTCCTGGCTTTGGATCGACCCAGCTCTGTCTGGCTGTGGTGGCCAGTTGAGGGAGTGAACCAGTGATGGGAGATCTTTCTTTCTGACTCTCCTTCTCTCCGTAAATCTGACTTTCCGATAAAAATAAGATATTTTAAAAAGAGACAAGGAAGCAGATCCCAGGCAGGCTCCGGCTGCATGGTCTGTCTCCTGCAGGCGAGTGAAAGAATTGTCATTGAACTGAACTTGCTGTTGTGATGATAAAAGTCTGGGAATGCTGGGAAGGTGAGTTCCTAGCAGAGGGAGACAGCACAGTGGAGCTCCCAGGAACGGGCTGTCTTTTATGGGAAGAATCAGGGAGAGAGAGAAAGAGAGAAAGATCTTCCATGCACTGGGTCACTCTCCCAAATGTTTACAGCAGCCAGACTGAGCCAGAGAGAAGTCAGGAGCCAGGAGGTCAAACAGGAGCCAGGAGCTCCTGGCTCCTGGGGGTGTGTGCAGGAGCCCAGGCAGTTGAGCTGTGGCCTGCTGCCTCCTAGGGGCGCATCGGTAGGGGCAGAGCTGGCACCACAATGGTGTGAACTGTGAGCAGGCCAGGCCTTGTGCCAGCTGCGGTGTGGACAGCGGATCCAGGCGCAGCTCTGCAGGTGTGCGACGGAGACGCGAGCGCCGGTGGCTCTGCAGTGTCTACCGAGGGGAGCCACATGCGCCTCCCGTGCCGCAGGTGGCTATCCTCCTCCAAGCATTCCGCGTCCTCAGCGCGCCTGCGTGTGTCAATCCGGCCCAGGTACCTATGCAATCAGTCAGTCAATCAATCAATCAATCCATCAATCAATCCAGTGTGACACAAGACTCACGCAAAGACCCCCTCGGGATGGGCACCGGTGCCTCGGCCAGCGGGCTTAGGACTCCGTGGGTTTCCCCTTGGGTTCTCGCACGAAGAAGGCGCAACCGTCGTGTTTTTGAGTGGGAGGAGGTTCTGGGTTGGAAGGTAGGCTGACATGTCCCTCCCCCACCCCGCTTGCATCACTAGGGGACTCTGTCCTCTTCTAGCCTGCGCCTCTTCCCCGGGAGCTTCCCCCATCTGTAGGGCCAGGGTCACGGGAGGAGATCTCCTCGGCCAGCCCACCCCTCGCGGCTGTCCTTCGTGTAAATTGGGGAGGGGGGCAGGAAATCAAGGAAGTACGCGAGGGGGCAGGACTTGGTGGATGGTGGGGACATACCCCAAGGCTTGATGAGTTGACCCGAGCCCCACTGTACGGGGAGCCCCTCCTTGACATGAGGGTGCTGTGTAAACGATGCAAGCTTGCTCGGACGAGGTCAGAGTTCAGTGTGGAGCTGCCCACGTGTCTCCTGTTGACGTTCTGTGTTGTCTAAGGGCTATTTTATTTATTTGAAAGGCTGAGGTTCCAGGAACAAAGAGGGAGAGAAAGATCTTCTGTCTGCTGGTTTACTCCTCAAATGGTTGCAACAGCTGTGGCTGGGCCAGGCTCCCGTCTGGGTCTCCCACGGGGATGGCAGAGTCCGAAGAACTTGAACTAAACCTCAAACCAGGCCTTCACGATGTAAGATGCGGTGTCCCTAGTGGTGAATAAACTGAATTAAGGGGGCAAAAGATTCGTGCCTTCTGCACTATAAAACATTGGCCAAAGAAACGGGTTTGGGAAGGTGGAAGTCTGGCGTGATGGCTCAGTGGCTAAATCCTCATTGTCTATGTGCTGGGATCCTGAAGGGCTGCTGGTTCAAGTCCCAGCTGCCCCACTTCCCATCCAACTCCCTGCCTGTGGCCTGGGAAAGCAGCAGAGGACGGCCCAAAGCCTTGGGACCCTGCACCCGCATGGGAGACCCGGAAGAGGCTCCTGGCTCTTTGCTTTGGATCGGCGCACCTGTGTTGTGGCTGCCTGGGGAGTGAACCAGCAGATGGAGGACCTTCCTCTCTATCCTCTATCCACGGTGGGGTGCTACGGTCAGGACACAAAGCAGCGTCCATGTGGGCTGCTGGCACCTGAGACAGAGGCTTAGCCTACTATGCCATGGCGCCAAGCCCCAACTGCCTTCCAGAAACGGTGCCAAGAACACCCAATGGGGAAAGGGTTTGTCTTTTTCATATGTGATACTGGAAGACTGATGACG